CTCTCTCAATGCCTGTGAGCTCCCATCCTCTCCAGGTTGTGAAAAGGGGGTGGGTGTGGTGAAGGACTTCCCAGATATGAAGCATCTGGACGTTTCTCTCCTGTGGACTCTGCTGCTGGATGAAGGTCAGGGCTGGCTGAGGGGTTTCCCACATCACTGCACTCACAGGCCTCTCTCCACCATGGAGCCTGTGGTGCTGAGCAGGTGTGGGATTTGTTGAAACCCTCCCCACATTCACTGCATGGGAAAGGCTGGTCTCCAGGGTGAACGCTTAGGTGTGCAATGTGATTGGCATTTCTGCTGAGGACTTTCCACATTCACTACACCTGGGTGTCCTGTCCAGTGGGATCTATCTGGAGTGTGGAAGGCTGGACTGATGGTGAGCAGCTGCCCACATGCTCTCCATTCCTGGGGCCTTTTCCCTGTGGGAGGCCCCTGCACTCTCAGTGCTCCCTGGAGGCTGCCCTCTGGTGAGTCCCCTGGTCCCTGAACACACTTGAGCTGCTGAACGTCCTTCCCACCTCCCTGCTCTCCAGGCCTCTCCCACAGGTGGTTCTGCAGCTGCTCAAGGCTGGACCCCGTCCTCCTCTTTTAAGTGTTGCTCCCCAGGGCACAGCATGGGGTGCTGAGGGTTCCCACTTAGCTCTCCTCCTGGGATGCCCTCTGCCCAGATGGAGCTCCACAGCCTCTGCTCTGTGCCAACAGCCCTTCACCATCCACAGGGGTTCTGCAGCCTCAGGAGCCCAGGCCAGGTCCTGCCCCACAGCTGATGACCTCAGACTCTCTCCCTGCTGGTGCTGTCACGGCAGCCACCACAGGCATCTGGTCTCTGTGTGGACACAAAGTCCTTCTCAGTGCTGCCCTCCTGCCCTGGCCACCTCAGCAGAGCCTGCTCTCCCCTGGCCACTCTTAGAAGAGTCTAAAATCCGTGATTTCCACCCTACCCTGACTGACCACATGAGGACATTAAGTAACTCCTGTTGTGTTACGTGCTCTGGGAGAGAGGGAGAGAGACTGGGGGAGAGAAAGTAGGAGGTGACCCAGGCCCAGAGTCCCTGTGGTGCAGCTGTGCAGGCACAGACACAGGAGGCCTCAGACGTCCTCTGAGAACTCGAGAAACTCAGGGATCCCAGGGGTGTCAGCAGCTTCATCACGAGGGGTTTATTTTTTTAATTGCTTTTATTTTTTAAATACATGGTAGCAAAATGCATCACTATTATTATTACACACAGAACACAATTTTTCCTATCTCTGGTTGTGTATAATGTATGCTCACAACAATTCCTGTCTTCATACATGTACTTTGTATAGTGATGCACATCACATTCCACAATTATTTCTAACCCCCTGCCCCCTTCCTTCCCCTCCCACCCTCTGCCCTATCTAGAGTTCACCTATTCCTCCCATGCTCCTTCTCCCAGCCCCACTATGAGTCAGTCAACTTATATCAGAGAAAACCTTTACCATTTGTTTTTGGGGGATTGGCTAACTTCACTTAGCATTATCTTCTTCAGCTGCATCCATTTACCTGAAAATGCCATGATTTTATTCTCTTTTATTGTTGAGTAGTATTCCATTGTGTATATATGCCACATTTTTACTCCATTCATCATCTGAAAGGCACTTAAAGTTTGGCTCCACTGTTTGGCTATTGTGAATTGTGCAGCTACAAACATTGATGTGGCTGTGTCCCTGTAGTATGCTGTTTTTAGGTCCTTTGGGTATAGACCAAAGAGGGATAGCAAGGTCAAAGGGTGGAACCATTGCCAGCTTTCCAAGGAATCTCCATACTGCTTTCCATATTGGCTGCACCAATTTACAGTCCCACCAGCAATGTATGAGTGTGCCTTTTCCCCACATCCAATCACGAGGGGGTTTAAGCAGGAGTGATGCAGAATACAGTGACCCCACTGACCCTGGGAAACAAAGATGTGAGCTGTCCATTGACCATGCTGTCCCCAGCACCTACAAGAGCCCCACAAGCACACATCACCACCCATCCAGAACCTTCCTGTGGATGACAGAGCAGAGTAAAGACCCTCAGGAGGCTAACTCCTGTGTCCTCCCTCTGCATGGTCATGCACTCCTGCAGGGAACACCCCTCTGTGTGGTGCTGCCTCCCATGACCACTGGGCCTCCCCATTGCCGGATGGCTGGCAGGAGGAGGGCCAGCAGGAAGGAGCCCCCAGTTCCCCCCCACCAGCCCCCAGTGCTTCTGTGCAGCAGGAGACAAACACCTCTCTAGGAAGGGTGGGGTCCTGCCCTGTGCTCCCCACTTTATCCTCAACTTCAGTCTCAGGCTGAAGGCCCAGCCCTGACTGAGCAGCCCTGTCTCCTCCTCATGGGGCCTTCATTGTAGCATTGAGGTCCTGACACTGCTCCTGGGCCTGGTGACAGCACCTGTGTGAATGTCCAGGGATGTCAGGAGCAGGGTGTGGGCATGCAGTTCTGGTGTGATTGACTGAAAGTGAGGCTGCTCTTCCCTCATGTCCCCACCCAGTGTAGGTCCAAAAGTGGGGACCAGGCCTGGTGAAGCCCCTGCCCACCCTGTCCCTCACCTGTGCTGACTCTGATTCTCTCTACCCAGTCATGGTGTTAGCTGGACCCACCAGGCTTCAGGGAGGGGCCTGGAGTGGGTTAGAAGGATGGAGGGTGGTGGAAGCAGATCCCATTCCACACGTGGTCCTGAGTCCCTGCTGGTCCTCAGTGCTCCTTGATGGAGTTGGGCACATGCTGTCCTTTCCCCAGGTGTCCTTGCCTACTGCAGCTGCAGGGCTTGGCACCTGCCTGGTAGATAGTCAGATTCACCAGGGACACTTCCAAGAGCCAGGTTTCATTAGCAGTCAACAGAGTGAAACCTGAGGATATGGCTGTGTGTTCCAGTGGGAGACTCCAATAAGGCTGAAGAATTTAAATACTGTGTGACTCCTTCTCCTTATTTGCTGGGCACACAGAGGAGGAGCCACATATCTGTGTTTGAAGCAGCATCACAGAAACATGGAACAGAACCTGAAGCTTGTCCTGATGCACACTTGTACAGCAAGAATGCCCCAGATCTGGAGGCCACAACAGACCCCCTCAGCCCTGGGAGCCAGGTCAAACTCCAGTTCAACGCTGCTGTATTTTTGCAGTTGACTATGGACACGACCTTCCTGGGAAGGCGATTCCCACCCAAGGCCTCATTCCCAGGAGGTTCCCTGTGACTAGTCCTCTTGTTCCTGTCTCATGCTGTGAACAAATGTTCTTCTGACCACCAATGGAGGACCATGTTCCCTGTAATGACTGTGCATTGTGATTTTATTGTTTCCAGTTGTCCCGAGAATTCTGCTCTAGAATCCTGGGCTTCAGATGAGGAAGAACACTGGAAAATGCCTTACCCAGAAAACATGTGGGGAACAGGAAATTTCATCAACTGTGACTCAGAAACCTTGGTCATGGTGCCTGTGTCAACAGGTCTGCAATGTCATTCATCCATGAGTGGGAGGAAGAATCACCTGAACTGAGCATGAGGCCACTCAGGAAATTTCCAACCAACACAAGTGACAGGAGATGAAGTCATGGAAGAGCATAGAGGGACTCAGATGTTGGATCCATGAAATCTTCAACATACAGTAATGCAGGGCATAGACTAGAGTGAGGCTGCTCTCAATGCAGTGAATGGCCAAGTGACCTCAGGTAGGGCCATGAAAAGCAGTGGGTGCTGGAGCCCACTGACTCACACCTGGATGAGGGGTACAGAAAACAGTGTCATGACAGGGGTCCAGGTTCACAGATGTGATGGAAGAACAGCAATATAAATCAGATGATTTGCTAGGACTTGGAAAATTCACCCAGGGGCACACAGGGCTTTGCAGGTGGTGAATAATGGACACCTGCAGGTCTCACCTGAGCCACCCCAGGACCAGGAGGTGGGTGCTTCAGGCTCAGTGTTTGCAGGGAGTTCATGGTCAACACCACAGGGAACAAGGAGAGGAGCCCACATGTCTTATTAGTGTGCTGTGCTCACTCAGTTAGGCAGGAGGTCAATACTTGGAACTCATCAGGAGGTCAGCAACTACACCTGCCCTCTCAGTGACCCCACCTCACTAAAGACAGTGTCCACTGATCTCTCCAAATGCTGGGCTGTGGGCAAGGCAGGTCTCACTGCAGTGATGCTGCACAGGGAAGGGACCTGTGCCTCCACCCTCACCCAGCCTGCCCTGCATGCCGTCCTGTCTGCTTTCAGCCTGGCTCTGCTGCTCTGGGGGAACTCAGGGAATCTCAGCCTCAGGCTGCAGCTGAGAGCTGCCTCTGCTCCCAGGACTCTCCCCTGGCCCAGCACCTCCCTCCTGTCCTCTCCTGGTGGAGACCAGAGGGCAGGACAGGTGAGGGGAAGAGCTCAGGGCAGATTCCCACCCACTGCTGTCCACAGGCATTGGCTGGACAGTCAGGAGGACAAGCAGGGCAGAGGGTGGTGGAGGGCAGTGGGCACACAGCAGGAAGCCCCTCCCTTCCTGAGACCCTGCTCCCTCCTCTACTGCTCAGTCTGTAGCCCCCAAATCTCACAGAGATGGAAGAGAAGAACTAGTCCTGAGAACAAAGGGGGCTCTTCTCCTGGATGTGGGGAACCCCATCCTCAGCCCTGAGCTCTGTTCAGTCATCACTGAGGGCTTCTCCTTCAGGGCTGGAGGTGAACCTGGGCCTCTTGCATGCTGGGCACGTCCCTGCCACTCTGAGACCCTCCCAGGTGCAGGGAGGAAGGGCTTGGAGGAGGCAGGGCTGGGCTCAGGAGGGTGGGCTCCCCCTCTGACAGCCTTCCAGCTCCCCTGAAACCACCTGCTCTCACAGGTAAAGCCTCACCTGGGTTCAAGACAGGGACACATCTCAGGAGCACACAGGACCTGGCCAGCCTGACCTCAGCCTCTCCAGATATCAGAAGAGCCTCACCCACATGCAAATCCCTCCTCCTGCTCTGGGTTCAAAGGCCCTCTGGGCTGTGGGAGCTCCCAGATCTCTGCTCCCACAGGGTTGAGGTCTCTGGGAAGGCAGGTGTGGTCTAGAAGATGAGGCTGCTGGGTCTTGTCCTGTGCCTGGTCACAGCTCCCCAAGGTGAGTGTCCCCAGTGTCAGACCTGGGTCTATGGGGAGGTTATGACTGCAGGTGACTGACAGGTGTGACTGATCTTGTTCTCAGGTGTCCTGTGCCAGGTGCAGCTACAGGAGTCAGGACCTGGCCTGGTGAAGCCCTCACAGACCCTGTCCCTCACCTGTGCTGTCTCCGGTTACTTCATCACCAGTGGTTACTGCTGGAACTGGATCCGTCAGCCCCCAGGGAAGGGGCTGGAGTGGATAGGGTACATATGTAGTAGTGGTAGCACTGGCTACAACCCATCCCTCAAGAGCCGAGTGTCCATCTCCAGAGACACGTCCAAGAACCAGTTCTCCCTGCAGCTGAGCTCCCTGACCACTGAGGACACGGCCACCTATTACTGTGCCAGATACACAGTGAGGGGACCTCAGTGTGAGCCCAGACACAAACCTCCTGCAGGGTGCCCAGGGCCAGCAGGGGGCGCTCTGCACACAGGAGCTCAGGTCATCCCAGGGGCAGGTGCAGAGGGAGGAGAGAGCTGTCACCTGAGGCCCTGAGGTTCCTGCCCAGCCAGCACCTCCCTGAGTCCACCTTGCATGGAGATTCTCGAGGTCCCTCCTCTGCACAACCTTTGAAACTGTTTCTTCTCTGGTCAGGGTTGTCTGAATTTCTCCCTCTGAGCACAGACTTCTCATCCATATTTCCTTGTGAAGCTAATTATTTTACAATGGCATTTCCCACATAGTGACCTTTATGTGAACTTTATAAACTTATCTTTCTAGTACTGTGGATTGAACACAAGACACATTAACCCTGAGCTCCTTCCCAGCCCTGTTTGTGTCTTAGTTTGAGTCATCGTCCCCTGAGATGCCCAGACTGCCCTTGAAATAGTTGTCCTCCTGCCTTGGCCTCCTGAGCACCTGGGTGACAGGGCAGCTCCACCATGTCCAGTCAGTTTTCTGAACCTCTGCTGCCATGTTGTATCCTATCATGCCCAGGTGGGTCCCCTGTCATCGTCTCATGACTCCTTCCCATTCCCAGTTTACTCTCTGTCTTCCTGTGATAGATCAGGTCATCATATACGTGCCATCCTGAAACCCAAATAGTGGGAGAAACTCTCACCCCGGGGACCTTGGCAATGTTAGGAAAAGGGTTGTTCAAGTAAAACAGTTGTTAGAGGTCACTGAGGCTGCCACACCTCCAGCCATCAGAGCCCAGCATGGCAGCAAGGGATTCTCTGACCCAAGTGCCCATGGACTGCGCTGAGGAACACTGACAGAAAGCCTTAAACCTTGTTAAACCCACAGAAATGTGTGTGTTCACAGTGAACTTTGGTGGGTGTGAGCCTCTCTCTCAGGATGAGGCTCTGTGACACCCACACCCACACCCAGGCCCAAAGGCAGAGGGGCCCACCCCTCATGCAGCTGTGTGTGGCCTGTGGACAGGGGTGACCTGAGCAAGGTGCTGAAGGATAAGGGGCTCCCTTGGCAAAGACCCAGGAGCCAGGGTGGTCAGCTCAGCATGGACTGTGGAAACTGCAGGTCAGCTCTGCCACTGGCCTCTGGACCCTGAAGGCATGCTGTGCCCAGGTCCACTCTGACCCCGTCTTGCTGAGAGGTGACCCTGAGCCTGAGAAGCCCCAGGACACCTGGCTACTGGGGGGAGGCAGCTTGGTGCCTGCCTGTGTTTCCAGCCACTGTGGCTGGACTGCAGGTCACAGACAGGGACACCTGGGCTCTGTCCCTGCTCAGGTCAGCGCCCACCCTGTCCTGAGAGTGCATCTTCAGTCTGGGTGAGGATGATCAGTGGCCATTTTTATATCCCCAGGAGTTCTAAGTTAATCCAGATTAATCCCCGAAAATGAAAACATTTGTGTATTTTCAATATATGTTTTTAGAGCTATGGTAATGATTTTGTATTGTACATTTGTAAGTTGCCAAGTTAGAGTGTTGTGTTTTATAACCACTTGTGCTCCTTATATTTCTGTCAATAAAACTTCCAAAAACTTTCTTATTTTTTTTTTAGTTTGAGTCCACCCCATTTATTTATTATATTATTTTATTATTTTTATTTTTTTATTGGTTGTTCACAACATTACAAAAATCTTGACATCATATTACATACATTAGATTGAAGTGGGTTATGAACTCCCAATTTTACCCCAAATGCAGATTGCAGAATCATGTCGGTTACACATCCACAATTTTACATAATGCCCTATTAGTAATTGTTGTATTTTATTTGTGAGTATGATTTTGCAAAATGTGTGGTTCATTTTGATATATTCATGGATACATTAGCAAATTTCATTGCAGAGATGTTGTGTCATCCCTATAATTCCTACCTGGTATCATATCTTTGAATTATTATCTATTTTTCTTCATATTAAACACAAAAACAATGATGTTCATTTGTTGTATGCCTCTGAGAAATATTATAATAATAATTTAGCATTATACATTTTTGTACTTTAGTGAACAATAATAGATATTGCATCTAAATATAGACAGAATTGTCCCAATGTCTGTTTCACCCTGTGGTCTAGACTGTCTCCTATGCCTCAGTGAAACCCCAGGTCTTATACTTGGGGCCTTAATCATCTCCTTCCTGAGGCCCAGAGGGAGGTGGGGTCACTTCCCTTTAATATAAAGCCCCTCCCTTATACATACTCTGTCTCTGATTGCTTAAGCCCACTTTTCTGATTATGTCATTTGTATAGAGTTAAGAAAATAACATTTAGGGATTTATAGTTGAATATGTTTTGAAAAACCTGAATATGAATTGATGTGTTGTATTTTGTTGTGTTTCTCATGTGACAATGTTTGATGATCAACATCACTAAAAATTTCAGCATCTCTCTCCATCAGACAACAGCTGGCCATTCTAGGTATATTTTCATACTTACCTGAAACCTAGCTCTAGTGAGGCAGAGGACAGCACCCTGACACAGGGGGGCCAGGTGCCATGATGGGTCCCAGGCTGTGCACACCCAGCTGTCCATCACCTGTCCCTCCTGGGTGTGGGGAGCCCACCAGCTGCTCTGCCCCAGTCACTGTGAAGCACAGCCTGGCTGTGGGCCACAGGTGCCCTGTGAGCTGCAGAGCCCCAGGACAAGGCCCTCTCTGCACGTGGCCCTCACCACCCACCCTCACCCCTGCCCTCCCTGCACCTTCCCATCTCCTGGGGCCACTGTCCTCTCTCTTTCCAGGACCTGATGCAGTAGCTTCCCCACATGAGGGATGGTGTGGTGATGGTCTCCCTCTGCCTGACCCATTTCAGTAGGTCCATGTGCTCCAGGGCCATGCCCAGGGCCAGGAGGGACAGGATGCCATTCTTGTTGGCTGAATGACATTCCTCCTCTGTGGATAGTATATGTTCCCCTTATTAATTAAGGGACAACATGGTGACAGGAAAAGTGCTTTAACACTCATGGAGTCAAGGAGTTAAGGACCAGGCCTCTTGGACTCCACATCCCATCTCCTGTGAACCCTGGGTAAAGGTCCATCCCTCTCCCACCTTCCAAACCCTCAGGCTTTTCCAACCCATGTCTCTGCTGCCTCAGGCCAGGCTACACATGGTGGACTCTCCTGCCCACTGCTCTCCAAGCTGGTCCTGCTGCTAGTAGACATACAGTGCAGGGGTCTTAGGAGGACTTGCTCCCTGGGTTCTCTAGTCATGGCATTAGGAAAACTCTGTGTAGGGGTCACATCTGGGACAAAGCTCTGCCTGAGCAAACTTCTATCCAGGGCATTCTATGAAATGCAGGTGGAGAAAGACCCATGTCTACATTCTGGTGCCCTTTAGGCCTGCAGAGTTGTCCCATGGTGCTGCCAGGTTTTCTGCTCTGTGACTGTTCTATCACACACATCAGAGTTAGCACAGACCAACCCTTTACCCTGTCCCAAGACTGCATCCACCTCCTTCGATGCTCACTATGACTTCCTCATGCGCCAGCACCAGTGTGGCTGAGTCCAGTCTGTGCTGCTCTGAGCAGATCCTGAGGCTGAGGGTTCACAAGGAGAGAGTTGTTCTGTGATAGTAGGAGCAAATGTGACTCCATTTTGTTTCATGACTTCATCCTGTAAAACAACCATGCCAAGTAGAATGGTCATGACTGGAGTAAAATGTTCTTTTCCTTTTGCTATAGAAACCTGTAAGAACACAGAACTACCTAATGGGGTATTGTTTCTGTAACTAGGGAAACGGGGCTCTGTTTCTGTAACTGGGGTGACTGGGCTGACTGTGATTGGTTAGGCTTTTCTCTGCTTGACTGCACTGTCCCACTTCTGTAACCTGGCTTGCTTGCATTGGCTAGACCCCCTGAACATCACTTTTGTGGTTTTCAGGCTTATAAGGAGCACCCTTGCAATTGTTCGGGGCTGATCAGGGGAACAGCTTTATGTTCTGGTCAGCTGCCACCTGTGTGTTTTAATAAAGGCTTGATTCGATTATACATGAGTGGTCTGGGAGTCAGTTTATGCAACCCTGGGACAAAGCTTTAAGTATAACATTTGGGGGCTCACCCGGGATCCATTTCTTCCCTACCCTCACACCAAATCTGCCTCCAATGATGGGCCTTTGGACCTCAGCCCTGGAGTAGAGGGGAGCTCCTGAGAGATGTTCCCCAGCCTCACTCCCAGGGCAACTCCAATCCATCCTAGGATGCTCTGAAAAGCCTCCTGCCCACCTGTCAGTTCTGGTGAGCTGACTCTTCTGGGGAAAAGGTCAGATTGGATGCAGTCACTTACACCTTCCCCGGGACAGGACGAGACGTTGTCACTGTCTCCCTAGAGTCTTCCTGTGTAAGCTCATCGGTCTGTATCTGGGGTCCACTGGAGGCCTCCCTGGGAGACCTCATCTGTCTGGGGGCAGGAAGAGACGTGGACTCTGCCCCATTAGAGGTCTCCCTGTGTGACCTCAGCGATTGTTGCTTGTCCTGTGTCTGTTCTGCTGTTTGTCATTTCTCCAGTGTCTTCTTGCTGTTTGTCATTTGTCCCGTGTCTGTTCGCTGGCCGTTTGTCTTGTATTTGTCTGTCTGAGTGTTGTGCGTGGGCCCTTTTCTTGTTCTCATAACTGCTCTTCTTTCATCAGGACTCCTTCACTCCACAGACACCATGGGACAAGGAAGCGCTACAGAGATCTCTACCTGGACCCCTTTAACTTGTTTTCGTAACAATTTTCAGGACTTTGTTGGGTTTTTTGTTTGTTTGTTCCCTTTGTGTTCTGTATTAATTTCTACCTCAGTTTGTTTCTAGTGAAAAAAAAATGGTTAAAACGGTTTTAACTGTTCTCACTACAGCTTGCATTGTAAAGTGCTGCCAACAGGACTAAAAGAATTGTCAAAAGTAAAAGCTAAAGGTAAAAAGAAAAAGGCATTCTAAAGATTGCCTTCATTTAGGAACTGGGCCAGGTGGCCAACTGGGTAAATCATGTCAGTTCCTACAGAGGACAGATTAAAACTAAAGTGTTTTATAAAATTCTTATTCCTAAATTGTGTAACAAAAAGTATAATTTTGTCTAGAAATTTGGCTTTTGTCTCTCAGTATTTGCAAGCATG